CATGTTACACACGTCATAGCGTAACTACAACATTGGTGTTGTAGGGTAAGTGAAGCTCATAGGGTCTATGTCCCCCAGGGTACTGCCGGAACGTACCCTGGGTACGGTCCGGTATACCGGAACGTACCCTGGTAACAATCTGATATGGTTAGGGAGTAGGCGTAGGCGACTCCCTACACTCGTTAGTGGAGTAGGCGTGGTACGGTCTGGCATATTAGATAGTACCAGCAGAGCATATAAATCACGTTAATTTATATGATCTGGTACCAGGGTACGTTCCGGTATACCGGACCGTACCCAGTGTACGTTCCGGCAGTACCCTGGGGGGCATAGACCCTCTCAGCGTGAGTGAAGCTAACTTGACAAGTGTGATGACTGATTTCTTGATTTAAATACATGACTAGTGTATGATTATGAGTATGAGAACAATAGGCGCAAATCTAAACTTCTGCAGCGGTAGAAAAGATGGTTTATTCTATATATTTGTATATATACTCTTAGCATGTTGGGGTTTTAATCAATGTTAAACAGTGAAATTTGACTAGGGGAGGTCTTACATGGGAGGAAATGGATTTGCCAGATGCACGCATGCATGCACACATGCACGCACACACACACGCACACACACACGTACTCTACTACATTGCAGAGCCGTAGGCTGAGCAAATTCTTAGGGGGGGCAGTGGCGGATACAGGATTTCAAGGAGGGGGTGACAAACAGGTGGGGGAGTCCTACCACAGAAAATTTTGAAAATGTAGATCGCAGGAGAGGGTATTTGAGGCACTTTTGAGTACATGTATACAGCCTTCATTCTGACTACGACAATTCTCATTTCTAGTAGAACAATTTGTTGTTTTAATTTTGTTCCAAAATCTAGGGGGGCAGCTGCCCCCTTCACCTCCCCCCCCCCGCAGGCTACGGCCCTGCATTGTGAGTTTGAGTTGCTGAAGATGATTTATAATATATGTCACATTGGTTAAATATCACATGTGGTATATGTGCATGCATACCATCCAGGTTGGCTACATTTAAACACTCACGAGGCAGATTTCTTTGTGAGTCCATGCTCTTACTACTGTGTAATCAACTCCATTGTCTCTTGCGCATCGAAAGTCATTTGTGCCAGTTTTCTGCTGGAAGTGTTTTAATACTATTTATGCATTTTTTTTATTTGTTGTATATATTTGTTTTTAGGTTAGAGTTATCACTAGGAGTTAGAGAGTAGAGTAGGAGTAGAGTTATCACTAAGTCTTAGACTTAGGTTGCCAACTTATCTTATTCAGACATTACAAGGATATTCTTGCTTTATTCCTCACAAGGATATCACTTGCTTTCTATTGTGATCAGTGTGTTAGCCAGGGACCCGTCTACCCGTCTTTTGGACGGCCTATTCTTGGATGGCACAGATGAAATTTGATAGAAACGGCATGCGCGCGGCCAAATTTTACACCTGCATGAAAATAAAATTGTTGGTTTTTCCCTCCCCCTCCCCCCTAGGGTGCTTAGCGCCCGCAGCATCCTCGCTTCGCTCAGATGGCGGGACTCCCTGATTTATTTTTCTTGCTAACACCATGATTGTGATGTGCATGCTATTGTTATCTCTGTCCCCTCTATCTCTTGCCCTTACTCTCTTTTTCTCTCTCCTGCTTTCCCTCACTCTCTCTCTCTCTCTCCCCCTCACCCTCTTGCTCTCTCGTCCTCTCTTCCCACTCCTTTCATTCCCATGCTGTTTTACCTAACATGTTTTACTGTCATTAAATAAAGTGTTACTTAAGGCCTATTTACACGATGCATCCTAGACGTACGTTTAGGACGTACGTCCAAAACGCACCGTGTATGACAATGCAAATGTATGACCCTTGCGATATCGGATGCACAGGACGGATGTTCTAATTTCTTCCGACATTGCGTTTCCATTGTCATACACGGTGTACGTCCTAGACGTACGTCTAGGACGCATCGTGTAAATTACTTTACCATGCCACTCTATCCCTCCCCTTCACATTCTTCCATTTTACCCTTCTTCCTTTCCCCCATCATCACCACTTTCGTTCTCTTTTCTCTTTCTCTCTCTCTCACTTCCCCACTTTCCTGTCCTCTCTATCTCTCACGTCCTCACTCTTCTACCCCCCTCTCTCGATCTATCTATCTCTCTCGCTTTCTCGTTCTCTCTCTCTCTCTCTCTCTCTCTCTCCCTCTGTGTTAACTCTCTCTTCACTCGCTCTTGGTAAAATCGCTCCAAGTCTTTTATGACTCATAACTTTATTTATTAACCTATAGATCTATTTTCGTACATTATAACTATAATAACTCAAATTATATACAGTACAGTGGATAGGACGTATTCAATGCTACTTTTGCTATGCAATGAATTTTTGCCATTTTGCCATGTAACCAATTACTACTGACATAATCTTATTCCCACAGGACATGGACATAGTGAAACATGGAAACCACAGTTTTATACATTTAGCAAATTATCAGACTGTCAAGAGTGAATTTATTGTTAATTTGCGAAGTGAGGATAGAATCTGCATTGTAAATGCAATCGGTGTTGTCATTGTTTATCAATTTTACATAACGTACTATTATATCAGGAACATATATAGATAATAGATATATACATGCACCTTGTTATTTTAGTGAGTTTTTGGGGGCCATTCGCTACACGCACAGGTCGTGAAGGTTTCCACGCCCGTTCCTGGATGTAAAATTGATCAACTAGCCTCGGCTACATGCCTGCCTGTACTCGCAAACAATAATTGCATTTTTCACGAAGGCCGTGCCAGCTGCAATACAAACAATTAACTGACCCCCCCCCCCCCGTGAAGATGAATAAACTCGTTTCCACCGGTGATCGATATGTAACGGGAATCAGGGCGGCGCGGTTCGGTTGACAGATTTCCGCAGCGCACGTGCCCATAATTAGTCTGGCGCGTACTGCCTACAGTAGTGAGTGCACCCACAGGCACTTGGAGCGTTTCAATAAAATATAATGCTAAATAAATACGAGATCTATTTACTACCAAAGTCTTAATGTTTCTCTACTCTCTTTCGCTTATTATTGCCGACAATTTCCTGTAAATGCCGTGAAAATGCTCTTCTGCAACACACATGTACACCGTACGCACGCTGCTGCACACTGACACATATATATAGAGTCTGTGTATAATATATATACTATATAGACATATATAGATATATATTGAGACATCTATATATATATATATATATACATGTGTCAGTGTGCGGCACCGTGCGCGCGGTGTACATGTGTGTTTGCAGAGGAGCATTTGCACGGCATTTACAAGAAATTGTCGGCAATAATAGGCGAAAGAGAGTAGAGAAACATTAAGACTTTGGTAGGAAATAGATTTCGTATTTATTTAGCATTATATTTTATTGAAACGCTCCAAGTGCCTGTGAGTGCACCGGTGCATTGACACCCATGTTGAGAGATTCGTGAGAATTGCTGACACGACCTGCTCTGGTACTGATGAGAGCCAGGGTGTTGCCATCATCATAATATTATGTAGCCTAAACACTGGCGGAATTGAAAGTAGCTTCGGCGCGCGTGTTCGGTCGATGAGTTGGCTACGCTGTGTACAAGGGGCAGAGATTGTGATGCTTGCATGTGAAGCCCCATGCTACTGACTCAGTCATGCGTGTATACCTGGGTACCTGCAGTATGTAGTTGCACTCACGTATGCGGGCAGTACGCGTGGGTGGGTACTTTCACGGTGCCCCGACATGCTTGCTAATCCCAAAATTGCCAAGAATTCCTGCTGAGTGTTGAATGTATTTGTCGTGCAGTGTACGGTTTCAAATCTTGATTGCTGATGGGAGATGCCCACATGGTAGTGATGCGCATACAAGCATATGCCTTGCCGATTCACCGGCAGCAGTGGAGACTAGATTGATCTGTGTCAGTGTCCTTCATAACTGTATATTTATAGAATATTTGTTCAAATATCTCCTTATCTGTCCTGGTTTGGAAATGCTGTGGCCCCTGTAGCTGCATATCGGGGCGTGGGTATAACTCCAGCTTGTTTGCCTAAACGAATATCGTGCTATTATTCAAAGCGTTCAACGTCCAGTCATCAACAATGCGTACACTCCAAGGCACTGATAGCTGTGGTGTGATGACAATATACTGACATAATGGTGTAATATTGCCACATTAACAACCCATCCATCATGGTCACATGTATTGTCTAGCCATGGATGTTGCGTGTATACACCCACACGCCGCACCTACATCCACCATGTTATCACATTAACTACTGCATCAACATTCACGTAGATTGTCTTTTATAATACCAAGCAGTAATTTTTCATTTTTCCAGTGTCGTTTTATGATGCCATAATGTTTTATGGGCGGACGACTGCGGTTATAAATGTAAAGTAAGCGATGATAAAGCGTACATTGGTAATAATTAGTGCATACTCCGAACTAATAATTATGTAAGCTGCTGCATCTGTTTCAAGGATGTTAAGTTTCCAATTTTTTTAGCTGCTGGCTATTTTTTGTATCCGTTCTCTGACAAGATTAGTAGCAGTAACCCTGCACTTGGCTGATCGAGATCTGACTGTGCACTGTACAAGCCACTCAGCCATAGTTCAGACAAATGTTTTGAATTTACCATAATCAGATCCAGGATGCCTGGTATCCTCTGGAATCTCACAAAGGCGTTCACATCTGCGCACTGCCTACATTGCTCAATCTCTGTCAATATATAACTTGTCAGCAACCCTTTGCTTTCAGTTGTGAACAGGTTTTATAATAACCCTAGATCCATTGTGGGGTTTTTCACGCGAGCTTTTTAATTTCACCTTTATCAAATGCTTTTGAGAACGTTGTTTGTGCTTTTTAAAGATGTATTTTCCAATCCTACATAGTTTTGGCCACGTGCTTCTGCGCTCGGTGTGAGTGCTTTGTGGGTGACTGACGCATAGGTCTGGGTGTGCGTTGTGATGGTGTTTGTAATCTGTTACAGGAGATGGTACGAGAGGAAACATAGATTCACAGCGATGTTTTTATATAAGCGAGCGTGCCGATGATGTCATCACATTCAGTCTCTCATGGACTGGCGAACTTTACGTGGCATGATCGGGACCGGCTGGTCGGCCTTGAGACCCCGGGGTCGACATTGAAACCTTCGGTGATGGGCTAGACACCTAAAGATCATCCCTGAGAAGCCTGTAGATCAGCGTCGACACCTTGGGTGTTTTTGGATTCGTTTTTTTAGGTCTGTGCTGTTGAGAATTTAGATTGTTTCAGATGTGAGATCTGACTACAAAGGGCAGCAAATGAAACAACAGAGGTTTGATATGAGAGAGCATGGAATGTGGGCCAGACTTCGGGAGAGGTCCATGTGGGCCAATCAGCTCAGTAGTCTGAAGCAGCACATTTGCTGTAAGACCCAGTAGATTTTCATTGAGATTCACAAGAGAAACTTTGAGACCCTGGAAGTCAGCCATATAATACTCACAAGGTCACATTTATAACCCCAGGGGTCAGTAATATAATACTCACAAGGTCACCTGTCGGGCCCTGGAGGTCAGCCATATAATACTTATAAGGTCAACTGTTTGACCCTGGAGGTCAGCCATATAATACTCATAAGGTCCACTGTCTGACCCCCAGAGGTCAGCAATAATCTTCTCAAGGTCAGCTGTCTGACCCCCTAAGGTCAGCCATATAATACTCACAAGGTCACCTTTGCGACCCAGGAGGTCAGCCGTGTGACGTGGAAGGTTGTCCGTCGTGTGGCTCGAGCGCGGTGGCCACGCGCGACTAGAACTGGAGTCCTCAAGCAGGTTTTATGAGTGCGTCTGCCACTGCGGTCCCGCCGTCGCGTCTAGTCATCGTGATCACCCTCGTATCGTCGGCGATGGGAGACCAGCTCTTCAAGGAGGAGGAGGTGGACACGTCACAATATGTCTTTGAGCACGAGCAGTACGGCAAGCACGCGTTCGCTACGCTATATGAGCTCTACAAGTCACACCAGCTGTGCGACGTCACTCTGCAGGTCAGTTCGTCATACTACAGACTTTTTTTGTGATCCACAGATTCAACATCTAGATTAAACGTGTATTATTCAGTAAAGATTCAACGTAGGTTTAATGTGGGTACTACATATTGAAGGTAGATTTAACATAGATTCATTAAGATTTGACGTACGTTTATTGTAGATACTATAGATATACTGTAGATTTAACAAGGAACTGCTGTAGTTTCTACGCCTTTTGCCGGTGTTTGTGTATTGAAATAAATTGGACACGTTTAATTGCAGGATTTTGGTGTATTTATTAGCTCATCTGACGTAGTCAGATGCAGCTTGTAGAATCGCATGATCGTCCGTGCGTCCGGCCGTCCGTGCATGCGATCCGAAAACGAGTTGGGATGTTGAAGCTAGTGGTCAAAGGTCAAAGGTCAAGAGGTGTAAAAGAAGGGGGAACATTCCCTCCTTAACTTAAGGTATAGGGAGGAAATGCAGAATTGCAGCACAAATCTAAACGGCTCGACCTAGGCTCGTGATAGTCGGTGTATAGCATCATGGTAGGAAAAGCCATCACTGTGCCGAAATTCTTAACTTCAGTTTAATCAATCTTGAGATAAGTAATTGCAGAATTGAATCGTCAAACCTACCAATGAAAATTTGCCAGTTTTGTACTGTCCTTGGCATGGCACTCTCTGTCAACGTTACAGTAGTGTGCAATGTCGGGATATGGTGGAGCATGCTGGCTTGCAGAGCCCTTTGGTTGACTGTCAGTCGAAATGTGTTGATCCTCCCCGATATTGAAGAAATCTGTACGTTATACGTGCGTTTACCTTACCTCTGCCCGCCATCTTCGTCGAAAGTTTGGACGCCGCGCGGCGAAATCAGAATGTACATTTCAATCGATGACGTAACTGATACAGTAGCGTGCCGCGTGGGTGTTATTTGTTTATAAACAATTTAGTCTGACTGACTCTCCCTCTCTCTTCTCTCGCTCGCTCTCTCTCTCTCTTTTTCTTTCTCTCTTTCGCCCCCCTCTCTCTCTTCCTCTCTCTTGCTCTCTCTCCCTGCAATAAAAAAAATGTTTGCTGAAATGATGTGTATGCAACTGCGTATCTGCATATCTGCGCCTAACAAAGGTGTCACTACGCACGACTGAAATGTTACGTTTATAACCGTAGCAACAGACCTCAGTCGAGATGAGCCCAGTCGCTCTGCGGCACTTGTCTTAGATAGTTTTATAGGCATAGCTGAAGTGCAATGTGCCATTAATAATGGATAAATCGTGTGACATGCTGTAGTATCAGAATAAAGAATGATATTGATAAGAATAACTTAATAGACAGAGACAAAATATATAAATCTGTTGTATAAAACCCCCAGCTAAATCTATTTATTATGTTACTTCTGACCTTATAGCATTGATCAGAAATTGTACCATTCCTTTCTTTTTACATGATCATTGGTAAATAATATACGTTATCTTGATAACCAAAAAAAAAATATTGTAACTAAATAAGCAAACTGTTGCATTTCCCCCGTTTGTGACGACCATATTGTTCTCAGGTTTTACAAGAATGAACATATGGTAAAACCACAAAAGTACAACAGTTTTTCCCCGTTTGCGACGATCTTACTATTCTCAGCTTTCGCAAGAATGAATATATAGTAAAACCATAAAAGTACGACGAATACTCTCTGTTCGCGACCGCATTCACGGGAAAAGAATCTATGGTGAATAAGTAATACGGTAAATACTAAGCATCCCGATTTCTCCGTCCGCTCCGACGGCACACGTAGGTCGGAAGCAAGTCGATCGCCTGTCACCGCGTGGTGCTGGCGTGCTGCAGCCGCTACTTCCACGTGATGTTCACGTCGGAGATGTCCGAGCGCCACAGCGACCTCATCCCGATCAAGGACATCGACGAGAGCGCGATGGAGGCGCTCGTCGAGTTTGCGTATACGGGCCGCATCGCGCTCGGCGTCGACAGCGTTCAGTCGGTGTTCTACGCGGCGTCCGTGCTGCAGCTGGAGGTGGTGTGCTGCGCGTGTGCGCGCTTCATGATCGCCAACCTGCACGCGTCGAACTGCCTCGGCATCCGCGCGTTCGCCGAGCAGCACAACCACGCGGCGCTCATTGCCGCCGCCGACGCGTTCGCGTGCGAGCACTTCGTCGACGTCGCACTCAGCGAGGAGTTTCTCAACATGTCAGCGATGCACCTCGTACATATCATACGCTCGGATGATCTCAACTCGCCCTCGGGTAGGTGGTGGGAGGGGAGGAGAGGAGGGGAGGAGTTTCTCAACATGTCGGCGATGCACCTCGTACATATCATACGCTCGGATGATCTCAACTCGCCCTCGGGTAGGTGGTGGGAGGGGAGGAGAGGAGGGGAGGAGTTTCTCAACATGTCGGCGATGCACCTCGTACATATCATACGCTCGGATGATCTCAACTCGCCCTCGGGTAGGTGGTGGGAGGGGAGGAGAGGAGGGGAGGAGTTTCTCAACATGTCGGCGATGCACCTCGTACATATCATACGCTCGGATGATCTCAACTCGCCCTCGGGTAGGTGGTGGGAGAGGGGAGGGGAGGAGAGGAGAGAGGCGAGGAGGGGAGGAGAGGGGAGGAGAGGAGAGGAGAGGAGAGAGGAGAGGAGGAGAGGAGAGGAGGGGAGGGGAGGAGAGGAGGGGAGGAGTTTCTCAACATGTCAGCCGATCACCTTAGTATCATATCATACGCTCGATGATCTGCAACTGCCCTCGGGTAGGCGTGACGATAAGCATTTTTAATCCTGGAGTGTGAAATCCCTCAGAATGTGCGCGTCGTAAATTGCACGCCCGCTACTTCATATGTGGTGGCATGGCACTGTTTGTGAAAAGTCTCTTACGGAATTAAGGGCCTAACCAAATGTACAGACAAAAACGCGCGACCTGTCGCCCCAAAAGATATGAGCGAGGGCCGATGTTAAGTCATTTAATCTGGACTGACAGCAGGCGTCGATCTGTTTTCGAGGATGGGGGGAGCGAGGCAAAACTAAACAAAATCTTGAGGAAACGCTACTTTGAGGAGCGATGAAGACTAAGGATTCGGAATTTTCGAAATGGGGGGGGGAGGAAAAAAACTGAACAAAGAATCCCGAGAAAACCTATGTGAGGGAAACAAAGCGACCCAGCGTTTGGGATTTTGTTTTCATTTTTACCCTTTAAAACGCGATTTCTATTTGTGTATTTTTGCATGGCGGGAGGGGCGAATCTGAGAGAAACGTACTCGCAAACGCCCCTCTCCCCACTGCCATGAGGCGTAGTTTCTTGCGTTTTTTTTTTTTTTTTTGCTGTCTCATAACAATCATTTATGCTATTAAAAAACATTAATACATGTAAGCGGTATCATACTGGACCAAAATTGGCCACTGTCGTTTTATTTATATAAACTAGTAGGACACGCACGGCGTTGCCCGGAAATAAGGCATTCAGTTGGTGCCACTTGTTGAAAAAAAAATACCTCAAAAATGCCATTCTATGCTATCTATCTATATCTATCTATCTATGCTATCTATCTATCTATTAATGCTATTTATTTATCTATCTATCTATGCTATCTATCGCATCGGCATCTACCCATGCCATTGCTATGCTATCCGTGTAATAACGTGTAATAAAATCACAACCGAAAAATCCATATGGCAAAATGGAATGCTCGCGCTCTGCTTTTTACTATTGGCGGCGACTCCGCCCGCCCCCTCCCAGGCAGGATCGTCGCCCCTGGAGTGTGGCATGTCTAGAGAAGGTATACGCATCGTATTTATTGCACGGCCGTGGCTACTTTCAATGTGTGGCACTGCCTGTTGGAAGGTCTATTGGGGTTGTACCCATAGAAATAGTATAGATAACCAGTATAGTATGGTTTTATTACATCTAAATAGTATGGTTACCAGCGGTAATCTATACTATTATCTATGGCTGTATGTATATACGATGTACAGGGGATAGGGCGCCGGAGCAAACCGCGTCTGTTGGCGGTCAGGATATCGTTTGGTCGAATGGCTACTGTACTAATTACTAATGTCACGGGACGGACCTAGTGAATTAATAAAAAATACTTTATGTTATTTCCTGGAGGTTCTGCAATGAAAACATTTTCTATGCTACAATATTGCATAAAGTATATTTAAGAGAATTGCGTTCTAATTAACAAAGTTTTGGGAGGGGCGATTCGAAGGAGCAAGGTGCTTGTGAGTTTAGTCAAATGTAAACAAAACGAATTTGTAACCACCATAGAATATACAGGTATCACATGTGTTAATTTGTCCATGTGTATAAAACACATGTATTCGTATATGCTATAGGCCTCCGTTAAGCAAGCGAATACCTTAAAGGCATAATTGCGACCGATCGATTATGCAAAAGTTGACGAATGCTAGCAGTAAGCTGCACCTTGTGTAGTTAATAAGTACATTACCTTATATGCCAAACGCGTATTAGTTTTGTCCAATTATCACTGCTTAATTACTAAGAAATGTCTATTGAAATCGGCGTAAATTTTTGGTAATGTGGCGACACGGACGGCTAAATTTATTGCCAACAAAATAAACATCGAGTTCGGTTCGGTGACGGTCAGCATGTTTGCTACAGGAATGTTTGAGGCATCGAATGTGTTTTGTCCCGG